AATACCCATGTATCTTATAATAATATCTCCTCTGGAGCCTTGTTCAAATTTATGCAATGAAGATCCAGATTGTTGAACCTGTATCAATCTACTGATCCAGGGCTTGATACAGTCTAAATATGTCGATTACCGAATTATTAGTTTTGGGACCCGACAAGGGGAAGTAGGAGCCGCCGGACAGGAGTACCGTCGGCACAAGCACCGCTCTGACCGAACTGCCATCACTGTCACCGGTCTCTCGTTCGGTCACCGCCAATGATGCAATTTGGGAGAAGGGCATTGGGAGAGAATAATTTGGGGACTTGGGTTTTGCTCCACCCCTTCCACCAGCGACTTCACCCGCACGAAAGAAATATCAGCAATCCATTAGATCAGACGGCTCACCATCTCCTCGTGTTGGGTCGTCGCCGTTGGTGGGTCACTTGGCTCTTGGGCCATAGAATTTGATTAGAATTTTTACATTACCGTGATATTATTTTTTTGTTACTTCTTCCCAACGGTGATGTGATTTAGGACATTAATGTCTTTAGCTAATCATTTCTGCCCAACGATGACTTGATTTTGATTGTAAGTAATTTCATTTAATGTTTCCTTCGTTTTGTCTCTAAGCAACTGTACTAACGTACATTATTTACATGGGCAATCACAATAATAATGCCACTTAATATTTCAGCAATAAATAATGTTATTTATCAATTAAAATTTATTGAACTATTTTTCTAATTGATTTTACTGAAACTAAGGCCTTCTTGAGTATGACTTAGCACAAACAAAGGATCCCTTGTGGCTCCCATGGCAAATGTCAATATTTTTTATGTGAACTCATGAGGCATTTTGATGAAATGTTAGGCAAGGAGAAGGCCAATATAGTGTTGTGTTTCACATATCACTAGTATATATTAAGATTACTATGTATGCCAGTATTAGGGGAGAATTTTGAGCTTGACAGTGCGAAACCATATCTAGCAAACATTTAGGCGAATTTTGGAGTTCATCGAGACCAATGTCAAGTACAATTTTGATGTATATGCACATTTTCTGCCATGAAATAACAAAAAGAGTTAGCATAAGAAAGAAATTACATGTCGTGCAAACTTAGCGGCATGGACATCACACATTTCAAATGCGCCACTTATCTATTTCATATGACCTTTCTCCTATTAGACTATGGTAATTTTTCAGAATTGCTATATTCAGTAAGATAAAAGTGGACCATAATTGACTTGGTTCATCACTTTGTAAATCAATAAGAAATACAAAAGACTAAGAGGCGAACCAAGTAAGATCATGTCAATATTGTCATTTGATGGCAAAGATGAAGCTTTACTGAGTGTAGTGTAGCAACTCCAAATTTAATAATAATAAAGCTCAAATTCCTCTTAAGGGGAAATAAAATTGCCTCTCTTCTTATGTATACTACTCTTGAAAATTTCTTGTGTAAGATTTTTTCTTTGCAAGAAATAGGGACATGCTTAATGTCCTGGTTTAAGAAAGTAGTTGCATAAGAAAATTAATGGCATATATTTTTTTGGGGTTGAATCATTATGAGACGTTGCCGAAATTATGGCCTTATTATTTAGCCACATTTCAAGGGGAGAATTGACATCACATTAAGGTAGAGACACATCCCGCTTAGAAATTTCTAACATCGATCATTAGTTAGCTAATAATTCACTAACTAAAATTAAATTAAAATTATGTGATTCAAGTTCATGGAAAATAAGATATTATGCTTCCATTGTATTAGTGGGAGCTCATCAAGACCTCCAATAAGAGAGATTATTCTACCTTGTTTATGACACATAGCTCCATTTGCGTGGATGCTAAAATTTTGCATCTCTTAATTAGTGAGTTGCACAAATAAATATACATAGCACAGTCTGAGGGTTCTATTGTCGAAAGACAAGTCACATATAGGGTGTAAGCTTAAAATATCCATTTGTGGACTTAATCAAGCATCCGTGATGTTTTAAATTCCGTTTGCGTTATTAGTGAACTAAGTGTTGGTATTTAATACGGTTACAGATAAAATCCGCAAGCGCACGGATATACTGATGTAGCACTTCCCCTACGGAGTATTCCAAGGGTATCGAAACCAAGGGAACGTGTGTGTGGTCAGATCTTCCTCCGGTTCATCCAAGGACACCAAGCAAAGGATAGGCCAGGATAGAGAGGATTCACTAGTGAGAAACAGTGTCTAGGGAAAGCTTAACTTTAATCCTAATGCAATACTTCAGGCACTAGCAACCCGCTGTTCTCAGATGTCGCTCTACTACGTACCCGGACAGGGAGGACTTAAGTGATCTCGAGGGTTGTCACCACCTTTACACCCACCTCAAACGTACTGTGGGATACGCAACAATTACTGGATAACAATTACCTAAACACCACGTCTAAGCAATTAATATCTACTTTAGTGTTTATAACTCACCAAAGCAATCATTATATTTTAGTTGATTATAGTGAACAATAATCCCGTATGCTATTTAGGAACTAACCAAGAGATAATTCTCACAAGATAAATCTAAATTACTCAAGAAGAATATTATATTGAATTCAGAGTAATAAACAGAATAAAAGAAATATGAGAAGATTACCGACAACTCCGGAATTCTTCTGACTTCTTCTACTCTACTCTCTTCCTATTCTAGTATACAATATAGTACAATAGAGCCTCTTATAATTCAGCTCAAGCTTGGAAGTGTGTGTTGAAGTGAGTGAGATGATGTCTTTATATAGGGGTAGGTATGACGGTTGGCGAAGGGGAAATGTCCGAAGTGCCCCGCAACCGCCATCAGGGAGTGATTTGGGACGTCCATGCCAAAACCTGGGATCAACGGCTATCACCAGGGTTCGGCCGAACCTGGGGGTTCGGCTGAACCTGGGCTGGGCCCTCCTGGCCTGGCCTTCCGTTGGTGGACTCTTTGGACCTTTCTCTATCCATTTCTCGGAGTTTTGGGTTTATTTACTAATGTTTCAATGAAGTTCTCAACCCCTCCTTGTATGGATACATAATTCTCCTCACTTTAGTCTGATTTTCCTCCCAACTTCAGGGTTTATCATCTGCATACAAATATACACCAACACTGTGGAATATGTAAGATTAAGCACCTAGCACTATGTTGGATGTTTTATTATCTAAACATTGTGCATATGTTGGCGGTACAAAATCGGCATTTAACAGCCGCCAACACTAAGCTTGAATAAGAATGATGTGGTTAATTATGCCTGTAATGATGGAAGTGAGGCATCGTTGAAATTGTGACTTTGCCATTTATGCCACCTTCCTAGGGGTGATTGGAACCTATCATGAGATAGAGATATTCTTTCCCTTAGATTTTAATGACTTTGTTTAGCTTTAAGGAAAAACTCACTAAGTGAACACAGTAGCCAATAGATGATCATTTATGGCTATGTTTATCCATTATTGACCAACCCGAATCTCTTAAGAAATTTAAGATACTAATGTTAAGAATTGTGAGATCGGACCGCGGTGGTGAATACTACATGAAGCTTGCTGATCTCATAAGCTATGAAGTGTAACCATCTATACGAGTGATTTTCAAACCATGTAAGATTAACGAAAATTAATGAGCCAAAATTAAGATAAAGAACTTAGTACAAGTTCCTGAATGAGTCAAAATAGTAGACTATAAATGGGTCTACAAAATTTAAGCCAGACTCCAAAGGAAATTTCGAACAATTCTGATGAGGTGGACAACTACATGAAAAATAAAGGTGGGAAGTTTATCAATTAGTGCTTTATATTGATCATATTTTATTAGTGAGCAATGTATATTGCTGTAAGAAAAAAAATTGTCATCAAATTTTGGGCTAAAGGAGTACTAGGTTAGTATTATCTAAGCCATATATTGACATAAATTAAAGAAATAATTTAATATAATGCAGTTAAACTCAATCAGTTAAAATTAAATAGAAAGATAGTCAGTTATGATTCAGCTGACATAAGCTTGATATTAGCTCACATCTGGATGCATATAGATTTGGCTTACATTATTTAAAGGGAATCTTGGCAGTATTTTATAAAATCCATCCTAGACCACTGTATTCAGAAGGCTTTGTATTATTTACAAGACAATTTTACGTAACATGCTTATAGTTCTAAAGTTTGATGACATCTACAATTTTGATTCATTTAGACACTTATCTTGTGGGATTTGTGGATAATTTGTAAGATCTTAAAGTTAATTGAGATTAAGTTATATCCATTTTGATATTCTTGTATGGGGAGCAATAAGCATGAAAAAGCTCCAAACAATTTTTCACTGCATAGTCGACGATGCGGTTTGATTTTCTGGCACGTTATGATTAAGCAAACTATTTGTTTCAAATATATTTCCCATACTAAGAGTGGCATGCAATATTTGAAGCCACTAATTATACTGCATAAATAAGTGCAATGATAAAAATGCAGTTTTCTATTCTAGTAACAAGTTGTGTGTTTTCTGCTTAGCACATTAACATTGTTCTGAAAGATATGTCCCAGGCTCATAAATTGAATTTAATTAAGATTATCTTCTAGCCAATATATGTATAAGTTATAGCGTTGGTTAATATCTTGAATGTGGTGGCATATGTTACACCAAGCCATCCTTGTGATTTGATGTTAATCTTATTTTTCTCTGAAATCATAAATACACTCATATGTTCTCCCAAACTGATTGATTGGTAATTTTAGGGCACCAAAAGATATAGATGGTTTCCCTTTCATTTACAAGTGCAAATTTTCCGGTCTTTCCAAGCAGGCCAATGTTAACTGGAGAGAAACTAAAAGGGGAAAAAAAGCGGGAGTGTTCTGAGATGTGCTACATGTTATAGCGCACTGCGTGTTGTTTAGTGGTACTGCTTTATTCAATCAGACCAACCCAGTTATTATCTCAATGATTTTTCTTAAAATTCTAAGCAACAAGAATCGAACTCGCAAGACTACATCCGCATGAAGATCATTTCAGAACAATACATCCATATGGTTAATTATCTAGCTCCAGGTGATGCAAGCAACAAGTTTATTATTGATTATTCCCTTGGATATTCATGCTGCTACATCTTGTGGGATATCAAGACAGCCACTGAATTCTTAGTCGCCGGTGCAAAAGACGCAGTGGCAGGTGTTCGAATCACTGCACCAGTAGTCCTGCATTTTCCTCCCCTTGTTCACAGAGCGTGAAGTCCAGCAGCTAAATTTGCATGTCGGTTTTGTGCAGATGAGTATCCAGCCAACATCATCGAGGCAATCCTCTGGGGAAAAAGCTACTGCAAACAAAGAATTTCACTGTTGAAGGAAATATGACCAGCAATTTCACTGCTGAATATGGACAAAGAATTGCATACAAAGAAAGAAAATCACTGCAAAAATATAGGCTACTACATGTATGACAACGCACGAAAAGCGAAAAGCAGAAGTGTGCCAATAACGTTATGAAAAATAGTTGAGTAAGAACACACCTGCCGTTGGCGCTGGACTCATAAGCAAAACAAGAACCAAGAGGAAGCACAAATTTAAAGATCTTACTTCCATCGTTGAAGAAGGGATGTGGTTTCCTGCTACCTCTTCTTTCTATATATAAGATAGGAGAGCCTTGCTATAGCTGTTCTCTACCTATAATTCTTTTTTTTTTTTTGCGGGGCTCTACCTATAATTCTTACTGCACTTATTGTTTAGCTAGGAAACAAAATATTAAATATATCCAGAACATCAGCAATGACAATAACATAGAAGTCATCATTTGACTAGCAGTCCATACTCTATAAACATCATCCTTCAATGGCTGCTCAAGATTGGCATAACATGCATATACCTATAAAAGAAAGAGATCCCATCTATAGCTTTGGGTAAAAAAAAGAAAATAAAGTAAATACGTCCATAGCATCAGTAGTGATGATCAAGTAGGAGTCATCATTTGACTACATGCAGTCTAGCCTCTATATATACATTATTGATTATTCCCTTGGATAATCATGCATGCTGCTACTTCTTGTTGGATATCAAGACAGCCACTAAATTTCTAGTTGCCGTCGCAAAACACACAGTGGTAGGTGTGAAAATCACTGCACAAGAGGTCCCGTATTTTTCCCTTGTTCATGAAACGTGTAATCTAGCAGCCAAATTTGCATGCCCCATTGCTGCAGTCGAGTTTTCAACCAACATTTTCAATGCAATCTCTGCGACAAAAGAGAGTAACTACTGCTTGTTATAATACTTATCAATAGGACAATCACCATTATGATCGTGGCAAGGAATCTGACAAATAAAATTTCATTGTTGAGTATCCACATCTAATTAGTTACAAACAAAGTAAATCACTGCTGGAATACAAGTCTTATGACAGCACATGAAAGCAAAAAGCACTAGTATGCTGATAATATATAAAAAAAGAGTTGTGAATGAAGGAACCTGCCATTGTTGGACTCAGCAGTTAAACAAGAACAAACAAGAAGCACAGATTTAAAGATCTTGCTTGGATCGTTGAAGACATGTCACATCCTGATTTTCGTCTTAGGATTTATAAATTATTTAATAAATTATTATTAGAATTTATATTAAATGTTCATTAATTTACAAGTGAAGATAAATGTGGGAAATAAAATTTCCTAAATATAAAGCATGGCTGGGTTTAAGTTTTATTAAATTCTCCATGATTAATTATACTCTCTGAAATTTTCTCGGATTTTTCGGAGCTCAATTTCTAATTTTAATAATACAAAGAGCAGTTCAGCAATTATTTAAATAAAAAATTAATCATTAAAAGGTCTGATTATAATCTTGTTAAGTACTTTAAGTGTTCAAGTATTTTCAGGATTTTCCTTGGAATTATTTGAGCATTGGAAGTATTTTTAACAATTGAAATATCATCTCATTGGTTAATTTATTTGGAAAAGTAATAATAATCCTCTTCCTAGTCTTGGGCCCTTTCCAGCCCATCTCCCTCTTTTGTGTGCACGGCTGTGCAGCCCAAGTCGGCCCAGCCGAGCTTCCCCCTTCTCTTTCTTTCTTTGCTTTGTTTTCAGCCAGCCCAAGAAGGAAAGTCTACTTTACCTCCCTGTCGCTACAGTATCATCTTCAACCTCTGGCAGCCGACCTGAGACCGAATTGGCTCGGTTTTTCCCCTCCAAATCCGGCCTTTCCTCTCCTGCATTTCTAAAATTAGTTGAGGGGAAATTATCTCCTCCTTATCCTCCTCCTTCCCCCTAAAGTTTCGGAGATCAATTTTGCTCGGATAAGCCGAATCGAACTCGTTTTCGAGTTTATCTCTCCACCAAACCCTAGCTTTTCCCGGTGCCGCCGCGATCATGTTGAGCCCGATCTCCTCCAGCTTTGGCTATAAATAGAATCCCCAAGACCTCCTCTTTCGTTTCCAACCTCTAGCTCGAGCTCCCGTGCCCTAGCCGTCTCTCTCCGCGCTAGCCATCTCTCTCCTCCGGCCGCCGCTCCAGCCGGCTATAGCCGTCGGCTCCGCCATCACCGGTCAGCGCCGTCGCCTCCATCGGGACCAAATCGAAGAGAGGAAGACCGGCCTCCACTCCCTCGAAGCCGAAGACAACCGGAAGGCCATCGCCGACGTCAAGCCGATCTGCTTCGCCTCCATCCGCGCCTTGCCGTCGCCTCGGTCGTCCCCGACCTGTGCCACCACCTCCCTCGGCATCGCAGCACCGAGGAGAAGCCCGTCCACCCCTCCGTTGCCGCTGCTCGTCGCCGGAAAGCCGCTGTCGTCGTCGACTGGTACCTCGCCGCCCTTCGGAGCTCGTCGCCGGCCGTTTTCCGTCATTGATTGTCGTCGCCGTCACCCTCAGTGAGTTCCCCTCGTCGTGCTCTTTCTTCCGGGGCATTCGGTTTGCGCCGTCGTGCCCTAGGTTTGGAGTTATATCTGTACAGTCGTGTATAGTTGTTCAGAATGGTGGGCCTGAGCAGTATGGATGTGCTGTTCAGTGTTGATTAAAATTGATTAATTACTCTACTGTTTTTCAATTCTCAAATGTTTGCTAAATGCTGCTTTTGCAAATGAGCCTATATTATGCCATCCTTTGGTATCCTTGTGCACTTGCGTATTTGCTGTGTGGCTTGTTGAGTATGTCATATGCTCATTTTTGTAATAATCAATCAACCTCAGTTGAAGAAAAATGATCCAGAAGGAGAAGACGTTTGGCTTTTACTCTAGTTGAGCTGCCTGTGGGAGTGGAGCTGAAGCCATCGCTAGATCGTTAATTCCGCTGCTGTTTTCTTTTCTTTTGTAAGTATGTAACGTTATTATTATGATGGATTTGTATATTAAATTGTCAATTTGTGTATCTCGGCTGATTTCTGGACGAGGATTTCACGAACAAATAAGTTCGAAAATTACTTCTGAATTTCTGGGCGTGACAAGGATGTGGTTTCATGTCACATCTTATTTCTATAAATAAGATTAAAGGAGAGCACCTGCTAATTAGCCATTCTCCGTCTAGAATTCTTACTACACTTATTGTTTTGAAAAAAAAAAACCAAATATTAAATACATCCAGAACATCAGCAGTGACAACAAAGTATAAGCCATCATTTGACTAGCAGTCCATACACTATAGATTGGCATGACATGCATATACATATGAAAAAAAAGGAGAGCCCCCACTACAGTTTTTGTCCATCTATAATTCTCACCACATTTATCGTTTGGTTAAAAAATAAAATATTAAATACATCCAAAATATCAACAATGATGAAGTTGAAGTCATCATTTGAGTACCTGAAGTCTAGCCTCTGTCATGACACCCCTTCAGTGCCTGCTCAATATTGGCATGACATGCATATAGATGTGTCAATAAAAAATAAAGATAGGTCATGTTCGAAACAAGGCCATTGCCTTAATGCCAATCATTTGCATGCAAAAACTTTCCTTGGCAGGGATAAAAGAAACTTCTGCGCTACAGAATTTTAGTCCGCCGGCCTCAATGTGTCTTTGGAGAGAAAAGTTTCACGGACAGATGATTTTCCAGGTTTTTTAGTATTTGCTAAAAACACAATATGTGAAGGAAGCTATGTCAAGCTGTGCTAGCAAGGTTGCATAATGGTATAACTTATGCATTGATCACAGGAAGCGATTTAGAAAAACAATACCTCACCCTTCGTGAAATTTCAGCAGATTTTTTCATAGCCATATGTAGATCAAATATACCAATCATTTTAAGAGATGAAAACACCACAACTGAAAACAAAAACAACAAATGATTATCTGTGATTCTTAATTCAAGAAACAAGAATGACACCAGCTCGGCCAGAAGACAAAAACCAACGAAATGAGCTTTGTAATTCATTAACATCACAAACAAATCGAGAAAATATAAAAAGGGAACGTTCCAGTGAATATTGACAATGAGGGCATGAGGATGAAATCAAGAATAGTATCAGCAGGCATGGAAAAAGGTGATGCAAATGTGCCAGTGTCCTAAGTGCAAGACTAGAGATCACTTTTCCCGTAGGACATGTAAGCATGTAATCACTCATGACCCTTGGAAAAGGTATTGGATATGTAGATATACCAAGCTTTTGGCCATTCTCCTTTGAGTGTGGATTAAAACATAATGGTAATTCATTTCTCTCAATGCTACGGACAAGTGTGCACTATGCACAACTTATTTGAACAGGGTTCTACCATAGCAAGGCCCGTCTTGGGTTGTCAAGGAGTCCATCTAGCTACCCACAAGTAGCCATTAAAGCAAGGGAGATTGGAGATAAGAAGGAAAAGAGTACATTCAGATTTGGATTGGGTCCGGTTGGACATACACGGATTAAGTCGGTTCCAGCCCTCATGTCCAGAGTCCATTTCTTATGTGTGAGTGCTCACTGGAAAGCTAAATTCATGGCCCATGTAATGGATGGTGCTATGGACCCGAATAACTTTTGGTTTCACCGCAATGGATGAAACATAACAGTTTTGTGTTGTATTATGTTCCTAGTTAGATTTAAACCCATGAAATGGATATAAGACTTTGTACATGACCCAAGAGGGTAGACCGCATTTATTCTAATAAAAAGATGTAGCATGATTGCTCGTGTTATTCTCCTAGGGTTTGTGTCACCACCATAATACTAGATAGCGGAATTGGGAGTCTCTTCCATAGATTAATTTTGCTTTATTAGTTCATCTAATTTGTCGGGGTTTCACGGTGTATGGGGATTCTAAGTTGAGAAGTTCAAGCACCTCATATAGGCATCCTTCGGATAGCTCATCAACATACATATGGACTCAATGACACAATGACACAACGTGTCATGAACCACATGAGAGAAATGCATACATTCATGAACCTTTTGATCTCCAGTCGTAGCGTCTTGCGACTAATTAAGGTGCTATCTACAGTAATAAACCTAGTATGTGGATGAACATTATTAAGGATGCAGGAAGCCTAAGGAAGAAACACCATGAAAAGATGTCCATAAAGTATGTTGTTAACAAATTGTATTCGAATATAAAATGTAAATACATGTAGTTCACTCTGCAGTACCACACACTTCATTGACTAAACAGAACTGATTTTTTTCCTAACAGATTTTATAAACCTGTAAATAGGGATGAGCTTCTCACTTCACAACATACACCTGAAGGATCAATTCTCCTTTGACATATAAGCTAAAAGTAACATTCTAGCCTAGATTTCCACCCAACTTCATGATTAACATAAGTTTACAAATTGTGCGTCACTTCAAGTTTACCTATCTCAAAAAAAAACATTCATCTTAAGGACTAAAACCGTTCATT